CTCTGTCATGTCAACTCGAAAGTGCTTTATTGGTGTGAGTAATGATGGGAGGTGTTGCCAGGGTAATTACATAGCACATTAAAGACTTTCATAAACATTAAAGTTCCTCCTTCACCCAGTGGCAAGGCTAAAGGGGCAGGAATGGGAAAAAACAGAATGAGTGAAATGGACACAGTGAGAAGGAGCAGAGGCAGCACAGACAGAGGGATGTAAGAGTAAAGGGCACTCATGGTAGAGGAGGGGGAGGAAGAGAGAAGGAGGGAGTATGGATGAGATGAACAGAAAAGATGACAGGAGTGACGGTTACCATGCTCATGGATTCCATCACTGAGCGCCTGAACATGAAACAGGAAGAAAAAAAACATGCTGGTTCAGCGTCCAACACAAACTACAGCTGCAATTCACATCACTATGCACAGAGAACACAGGATAGCTTTCAACCTCTCACTCTCTCTCACACACATAAACACACACTGTATGCACACTGCAACCTTTAACTACACACTTACACAACTTTGTGCATATCCTTGTTGACACAATCTTTGTATATACTTGTTACCATTCACACTATAGCCACAAACCCAATACACACAGCTGTGCACAGTCTGTCACTGAGGGCTATGACACTCCCAACTCAACCAAACACACAACCACATGGACCATAATTAAACAAACATCCACCCGGTCGTTGAGCATTGCATATTTATGTATAACCTCACTGGTGAAAAGCAATTAACCTGGACATCCTCAAAGGGCTAAAATAGCCCCTGCCAATCAGTGTCATAGAGCATGCACCTCATTTTGTGCATCTGAATGTCAAATCAGATATCCAGATTGTCCTTATTGCTGTTTCTGGTTTAATTTTATGAGGGATGTTCAGAAATTCTTGAATACTTAGCTCCTGTATGAGGTTCTGTGATGAGCTCCTGATGATGTTGATATACAATCCAGGTGCACAAAGATGGAAAGATAGCGCCTCCCAAGTTTGATGTCTCTATGTTTTTCACACACCACTTAATCAGTGCAAAGTGTCCAAACTTCAACAAGCATTCTTTGCCAGATGGCACAGAAGTGAAGCATATGTTTTTGGATTTCAGGTCAGTATTGTGGACTCGATTAATCTGAAAGGCACAGATGTTTTGTGGTATTAAATACTGTGGCAAACCTCATCCACAACAATGACAATAAACTCCTGAAGGCACTGAATGAGTTGCATAATGAAAACCATACCGTGAGTGATGCCAAGAAGGCAGGTGTAGCCTGAAAAACACGACTACCTGGTCATGATTAACGCTGTAAAACCAAGCTCAAGCCTAACGATGACAAGCCAGATGCATGAATAATTACCCTGATACAAGTCCAAAACAGCATCCAACCCTCCAACTTGAAAGTGTCAAAGTAAAGTTATTTCAGTGCTTCAGCTGGGCTAAGTATAGAGACAACAGCTGCAATGGATTCTGAGGCACAAGAGAGTAAACGTTCAAATTCACTGGATTAATCCTGCTAAGCGAGAGAAGAGATCAGGCTGTGCACCACCAACATCGCCACTAATAAAAACAATATTTTGCTTTTCTCTTCATCTCAGCTGCAGATCACTATCACCAAATGGCTCCCCACTAATTAATTCCTGCTCTCACTTAGTTGCAGCTGTTGATTCTCTCATCTCACAAATGTGGACAAGTGGCAAACAGGTTCTTATTTCAAAGCCCGGCACACTGTACGCATTCCTTGACTTCGCATCTGCCCCCTGTCATCAAAGGGCCTTTATTAAGTGTCTCATACATTTACACATTGGGGAGCAGTTTAAACTTGGCCCACAGTTAACAGAGTAGGGATATCGATCCCAGAAACCAATGTTAGGCTGACATTTCAACATCTAATGTGAAGTTTAAGGTCCATGTCTGCAGGTATTAATCAAAGCCACGAGTCTCTCTCTCCCTGTAGAGATCCCACATGCACACAGACCTGCCTCCCAGGTCCTTCCAAAGATATACAGCCCAAAGCTAATTGGACACAATCCACTGCACTTAACACATCTGAAAACTCCAAATCTGCACAGTGTGTCACCAGAATGATGGATTACATTTATACTGGTCAAAGTTTTCAAAGTGTCTTAACACTTCAGAGTACACAGCAGGGGGATGATATCGCCTGTCTGCCAACTTGTCTCTGACTACATCCAGACCAAGGCATATCAAGACTTGACTTTTCACCCACACCTCTACACACAGACACACACACACAGCTGTCATAATGATTCAACAACTGGCCCGCGGCTCACAACGCTCTTTGCTCTGCACCGAGTTCCACCCCAGTCACCCACAATATAGAGTCCAGCACACCATGCCTCTCCTCCATGATGACCTTGGGGTCAGGCCAGAATGCCCTCATATAATGAGAGTGCTGTTTGGGGATTTGTTGAGCTGTGATAGAGAAAGGGCAAGCACACGCAATGCACCCTGGGTCTTTGTCTGGGTGCTGATGGTATTGACGAGCGCTGATCGATGTTAATTGCTAGACAGAATGGCCATATTGACCAGGCTCCCTGGATGAAGAACCCTGCAGGCCTAGTCAGAAAGAGAGACACACACACAGAAAGAGAGAGAGAGATGGCGGGCCCAGACCTACAGCAGCTACAGGGCCCCAAACACACACAAATGGCTCTCATTCACTTTAATGAGTCGAGAGAGGAGCACAAAGGCATAATGTCCATCAATGCCAAGTCTATTCAACACAACAGAGGGTATATGCAAAAAAATATGTGTCCTGGTGTGTGTCTCTGTGTGTCTATGCACATTTGAGTGCATGCACATGTGCATTTATGAACGTGTGTTGCAAAGTTGATCTGCTTCAAAGTGATATGGTTGTTGAACACGGGGAAACATGAAGGGGATATCCATATATGTAAGGATGTGTATACATCAAGTTTGTGTGTGTGTTATCTAAGGATCAATAGGCAGGAGCTGCAGAGGAAAAGACATGGGCAATCAATATGCTGGCTGCAAACAGAAGGAGGAACAGCGAGCAGATAAAAAAAAACAGCCAAGGAGATTAAAAAGATGGATAGGGAGGACAGAGAATGAATGAGAGAAGAGTTGTGTGACAGAAGGAGAAAGAGGAAGAGGGGCTCTGTGTTATGCTATTTGTTGTTAACTTTGTTATTTTAAGGTTATATGAGAGTAAATGTTTATCATTTCTAATATTCAGCTGCACTTAACCCCATCTATCTGCAAAGACAAACACCTGCCAATCATCATGTCCATCAGCAACTCTACAAATTCAATTCGAAAAAGATTGATAATGAAAAATGTGGCTAATTACTGCAAGTTTGGTTTTAGTGAATGGACTTTCAGTTATTTATTTGCCCTTTGTTTTCTTTTTGCACTTCAATGGCAATGTGAGTTTGCTGAGCCAGATACACTAAGTCTTGTTTTCCAGAAGAATCTTTGTATGGATTCTAATACTATCTACAAATCTGCTAAATGTGGCTTTTGTGTACAGTATGCAAAATGAATTAGACTTTTTGGGTTGTTAGTTCATGCTCTGCCATTGTAAAGATATGCAGTCCCCATTCTGAACCTTTCCATCTGGGTTTAAGAGTACCAGATGGGCTCATACTTCATCACCAGAATACTGTTCAAATCCCGCTCCACAACATTTGCACTCCTGTCCCTTGCAGCAGTGCGGTGAGCAGCAAAAAAGCACCCAGACACAGGTGCAAAGACAGAGAGAGCCAGTAGTGGGAAAGAAGGCCAGAGGCTTGTCTATGGAGCATGACTGGAAAGGCATTCAACCACAGTACCCCTACCCAGCCCAGCTCAACCCTGTTCAGTCACTGAAGACTCTCTCTCTCTCTCTCTCTTTCTGTGTGTGTGTGTGATTTGAAAGTACAATGCTGAAAAGAATAGCCCTACATTTGGAGCCAAAATAACTGTCCCTAATGTATGAGGCCAACCCCCTCCCAACTCTATTTAACACATATACACACATACACACACACACACACAAATGTACTCTTTTCCTCTATTCTTTCTCTGCACGCTTGTGTGTGTGTGTGAATAAAAGGTATGGCAGGAGTGTTGTGTTGGCTTGGCTGACCGTCTGCGGTTGTGCGGCGGGGAGAGGGAGTTTGGGAGCGCAGAGCGGGCGTTGCTGCCGAAATCCCTGAGAAATGTTCGTTTTGGATCCGTGTCTATGCTTACATACCGCCCTCCCGACTGTCTCTCATTCTCTGTTTCAATTTTCCCTCTTAAGGTTTAACTTAAAAGTTATGAGATGGGAGTCAAAATACATCACTCGAAAGCGCGGCTCTGAAGGGCGTGTGAGAGAGAGTGCACTGCCCTCCATCCTGGGTTCGGGGCCATTGAGGCTGCAGGGGTGAGGTTATCTTCAGGGGAGATAATGGAGGGGAAGAAGTCCGCTTGATTTTGAGATAAATGTTCACTTGACTGAGGCAGGTGTCTTTGAGTTTTAAGAAACAAGAATAGTTATTGGCACTTTGAGACATGTTCAAGAGCCCAGTTCATTTATACTGAAATGCACTATAAAAGGTGTTGTTCCTGGAAACAACTGAATTCCTCCTGATAGCATGGCATCATTCAAATTGTTTTCACCGTATTTTACTTGTTTTGGGAGTTTTCACAAACAAATATTAGTTTAAATGAGACAGAATAACGCAAACAAACAAACAAACAAAAAACCTCCAAAAGAAAATTGCCAGTTTCGGGAAATTAGAACACAAACAAGTTGCTTTGCGTTGAAAACACCTGAATGCTACATGTGTTTTAAATTGAATGGGGCACTTATTAAAATTGATCTTTTTTGCAGTGTAAGTTTGGTCGACATCGCATAGCGACTGACTAATCCCATTTTGATCCAGTAAGCGTGCATGTGCGTGTGTGTGTGAGGAAACGAGAGAGAGAGGTGGGAGGGAGTGAAGAGAGGAGAGGAGGGAGGGAGGATTGATCCGCGTCTGTTAAAATCTTGTTCTGGTTTTTCTTGGAGTGAATTCTGTGCCTGCCGACGCACCTCTCCTGTGCAGCCCCCTCAAGAAGAGCTTTTTATGGAAGGAAACCTTTGGAATTTTTCAGAGTGAAAGGCATCTGCATAATAGCAGTAAAGTGGATAAAACGCACGGCTGGGTTCTTTTTGAGTTTTTTCCTCTGGTGTCTGAATGAAACAGGGAGGCAAATTTAAGGGGAAGAGGGACGGTGCAGGTCCTGGACTGGGAGTCGATCTGTCAATGTGATTTGGGGTAAACACGTTTCCAGTGCGCCTGTTTTAACTTTTATTTCTTGAGAAACTGCCGAGCTCGACTTTTCTCTTCTTGCACCGCGGAGTTCGTTTTTCTCGGAACGAGGAGACTATTTTTCCCCCACGGAGAAACTGCTTAAACTTTCTACGCTTAAAAAATAAATAAAAAGATCGGATTGCATTTTCCCCCTTCAAACATTTTGGAGGTGATGTCATCGTGCTGTGTTTTGGCTGGTATTGTGTGGAGAGGGTGCAAGGAGGATTACTGCAGCCAGGCGGTAACCAGCGGCTGAGGCGAGTGGGGAAGTCCGAGAAATCAGGTGCAAAGTGCGGCTGTCATTTCCTTGCGGTGTCGCGGGTGGTTGAGTTCGCCACCCAGTCACAGCTGTTCCCAGCCACCCCTCCCTCTCTCGTTTTTCTTTCCTCTTTATTATCCCCTCCCAATCTCATTCAGCACTCCCCATATACCCCTCTGAGCTGGACCGCTCCGGGACCTTATCACCCTCTCTGTCGGACACTGTTGGTCGGTGTCACCTGAGCCACAGATCCGTTAAGCCAGCGTGGGGGCGCAGACATGACCGAGGCCACCTTGCATTACCCTGCGCCCTTAAAGCCACCGTCTTCAGCTTGCCGTTTGTCCCATCAGCCAGCCCAGGTAGCCCACCTTCAACAGCTCCTGAACCTGCTCTGCTGGGACTAAACCTGCCTACTCTACTTTAATTTATCATCTATTGACTTTGGAGACCAGATTCTTGCTGCTGCGCTGATACGTTACGCATTGGATTAACCAGTTTACGCACGCACTGCATCTGTCCGTATGGACGAGCATCACTCTGAGGGTTAAAAAGGGGCGACGGGAATTGGTTATCTGTGACGCATGTGCGTGCTTTCACCTGTTCCTGTCCTTGCCGGTGACACGCAGCGTTTAAAGCGCTAACCATTTGCTCCCCCGCCCATCTCTGTCTGCACGGGTCTGGACATCAGGCAGAGGTTGCCCGGCGGTCACGGTGTCACAGTTACCCTGGCCTCACACCCCATGTTGCCCGTGCCTGCACATTTACTCACGCCGGGGGAACCGGGACATACCGTCGCCGATGCCAACGGGAGTGTCCACTGACTCTTTGACTCTGGACAACATCCAGCGGATTCAAACCACAGAGGGGAACTCTCCGGACTGTCGGACTGGCTCAGAACGAGCGAGCGGACTGTATCTGGACCAAGTTTCATAGTGGAGGGGGGAAGCAATGTGGTCCCTTCTTTCCACGCTGACCGTCTTGTAAGTCACTTTTGTCAAGTTATTTAAAAAATAATCTTATTTACCCATTCCTATCCCATTCCTCGGTTGTTTGAACTATCTCATGGCAGGCCTAGCTAGGAAGGGTGCACTGTCTAACGATTACGTCACTCCTCATCAGTCCCCGTAGAAAACATGCCATGGAAGGCCCTGTTTTGATTGGGTCACTGGGTCAGAGTCAAAGCTGTATTACTCATAAAACCTGCCATTGTTTCATTTTTTTTTTTTCAACTTAAAATATTTTTTTAAAGTTGAGTCAAATAACACTGGTTTTATCAAGTGGGATAGGAAAATGATAAAATGCCAAGAGCAAATCTAAAGGAGGAGCATACAGACTCAGGGGGCTCGAGTTTGTCCATTCAAGGTGTGTCTTTTGAAAAGCCAAGGGGTTTATTTTTCTTTCTTTGTGTCGGCTGTACTTTTCCCACATGGCAGTCATCTCCAGATATTTCTCATTCCTCATCCAACCTGGACAGGGTGTGTGCTGCTGCTGCTGTTGCTGGTTATTGCCTGACTTTCTGTCTTCATCTGTGTCTCCCTCACACACTCTCAACTTACCCAACTACTCTAACTGCCTACACCCCATTTTCCACAAATATTTGCTCAGATAAAAAGTTTGAATTAATGATGGACCCTCTGGCGGTCTCACTGAAGACAAGCAGTCTCCTCACTGTTTGGCTCTGGTAGACCTAAACTAAAACCAGCAGACTAATCATCTCTCCATTAATTTCCTTCCTGCCTATCAGTTTTACCACAGCCACTTTACTTCACCACATGCTGTTTTACCAACTTGACCATAAGTCTTCAGCCAGTGAGAAAAGCCAGGGGCCTTTTGCCACAACAACCTGATAATATTTTCCTAAAACCACAACTCCATGTTGAGGTTTTCTTGTCCTCTAATTATTGCTCCACTTTATGCCCTATACTGTTGATACCACTCATACACCCACTAGCCTATAACCACTATCCCTCAGCGAGGCCCACTGCTGAGCATCTGAAATTCTCACACCGTGCCGAAGCCCACTGCTCCAGTGCTGGCCTACCACACTAACCGCTGCTACACACATCTGAAACCGCTGCGCTGAGTCCCAGCAGGCCAACTGCTCTTACTCCATGCTAGTGCCCAGTCCTCAGAGCTGAGGCCTGCTAGTCTAACCGCAGTCTCCATATGGTAGATCTGCTGGGACGCAGGTTTATGATGTCAGACCCTTGCTTGTTTTGGCAGCCAGCCAAGGTGCACCGGGCTTTCCCTCTCTCCATACCTCCTTCTGCCTTTACTCTCCTCAACCTTTACTCTGGGCTCTCTTATTCTTTCATTTTCTCATCCCTCCCCCACCCCCAGCCGATCCCGTCTCTTTCTTTCCCCTCTCCTTCTCTTTCTCTCTATGGCCAGCATAATATGGAGTGTCTGTGGTTTGTGTGGGAGTGGGGGAATCCACTGCTGAGGCGCTTTTCCTGTACTGTCCTCAGCAGCAGTGCAGCTGAGGTGTTTTAACAGCTGAGAGTCCTCACAATGCACAAGCGCTCAGGTTTTTTCGGCTGCGCAGGCAAAATGTGAGGGCCAACACTGCTGCATTGCCCAGGATGTCTGCATCTATTAGACTGACTCAGGAGCCAGCACACCAGCTATGGGAAAGAAATGTTGAGAAAGAAAAGGGAAGAGAGAAAGGAAACTAGAGGCCTGTGATGGTGTGTATGTGTGTGTGTGTGTGTGTGTGTAGTCAGGAGGCAGTGACATGTGTTATGAACCTCCTTCCTCCTCTTTCTCATTATTTATCTTTTTGTCTACTTCTCATGCCAGACCACACTCTGTGGTTATACACTACTGTCTCTCATTTTGCCACTCTCTCTTCGCCTTCCTTTGTAACCTTAGTCTTTTTGAACCTCTCTCCTTTGTTTCATATCTGTGCATCGACACATTCATTCTGATTTTATCTCTCACTGCTTTTATTCTCTGTCAGCCTTCTCTGGCTTCAGCTCCCCTATATTTATTCATACATCAGCTTCCTCTGTCGTGCTATCTCCTTGTCCCTTTGTGTTACCTCTCAGTCAACCTCTCTTGCTATCTCCTCCTCTCAGCAGCGAGTGTGTCTTTACTTTGCCCCAGCTGTCAGCTGCCTGCTCCTCCTGTACACACACTTGCACCCTGCACACATCTACACATCTGTGTGCATGCCCATGACGGTGTGGAGGAGTCACCCTGCTAACCCCAAACATAAAGGAAGATGGGAGGTAGGGAATGATAGGAAAAAAGGTAGAGTGGACAGAGGGGGTGAGATAACGAAGAGGAG